ATCTCTCTGCAGACTTAAAGTGCTGTTTATATGGAAGAATATTTCTGTAAACTAAAGGAATAGAAATTTACTTTTAAGTGAAAGTTGAGGTTATGTAGGAATGATAGCAGTTGCTCTGGATTGCTGCAGATTTCATCTGGGTGAATTGTGCCCCCTGCTTCCCCAAACTATGTGATGTTGATAAGTGAATGCTGGTGTTTTCTTCCATGTTTTCTCTGAACAAGCTATACCTACTGGTTTTAAAAATGTGTGTGTACTATTTTCAACAAGCAGTTTAAGTGGCTGTTAAATGTCATATTTGGTAAATGTGTCTCAGGGTGAATTTGATTTAAGCAAATCAGTTTAAATCACTAATGTAAATCATGGGTCAGGAAGCCTCAATTTAATCATTCTTGTTATTTGATATCCTTTATTCATTTAACTTCGTGAAGCTTTGTACTTTTAGAGAAAGGTGTAAGGGCTTGAGTGTGTGTATACAAACTTGCAGAGAGACAGTAGGGCTGATACGTAGGTAATCAGGTCGGTTATCTCTTACCTCCATATACTGATCTTAACAAGGATGTTGTCTCTGGAGATGACTAACTCTCCATGTGCCTGAAGAATGGCATTTGTCCTGGAAAGCTTGCAAAGAAAAATGTTTCAAATTATTTAGTCTCATAAAAGATATTGCACCTACCCAAAGAACCTTACCTGCCTATGATCTGTGGAGACACAAATCCACAGTTTGAGAACTGAAACTAGGCATCACAGAGATGCTTAATGGGATCTTTTAGAGTAGTCCCATTGGGTAGAATGGTTCTCTTTCATCTTTGCTAATCTCTAGAGGAACCTCTGGAAACCCCCTAATGTAGTCCATGGCCTGTTGTGTCCTATTTATAAAACTTCTAAATGGGTTCCATGAATATATTGTCTCAAATAGTATACAAATAGAAGTTATAATCCATATTCCATGATGATACAGAATCATGGAAAGTTAGTTGGAAGGAGACCTCAGGAGGTCATCTAGTCCAACCCCCTGATATCTTTGACCTTTAACATGTTTACAAATAGTTTTAATATAAGATGCTTTAAAAAAATAAATTTATCTTAAAAATTAAAAAAAATATGATTAAATAAAATATCTGATTTAAATAAAAATAATCCATTTAAAAAAAATTATCCACCCTGAATTGTGCCTACTCTATTGTAACTTCACTTTTTAAAAGTTAATTCAGGCATCTCTGTATTCTTGCTTGGAAAGGTACTATTTGTTTCTCTGATTTGTATAGAATCTTTAGCTTCCCACCCTGTGGTTACTGCCACAGATGAGTTCCAGTGCTTTCCTGCCAGTTTTGCAGAAGTTTTTCCAAGTTTGTAATTTTGTTTCAGAAGTTTGTGCTATATATGGTGAGTTATTAGTAGATGTATGGCAGGAAGCAGGGTAGAGAGGGTAGATTAACTTTGTATGATTATTGTACTATTCTAGTTTTCTGTGTATCGTGTAAAAGAGGGTTACACATGTCCTATTCTGTAATTTTTTTTCCAGTTGTGAACTATATTATTTTGTCTCCAACTAATGCATGAAATTGGGTGACCTTCAGTCTAATACTAGTGGTTTTTAAAATTTTATTACTTAAATATTAAGGTGAGAACAGAGGAAAAGCCATACATACTGGGTGCACCCAGAGTTTTCTGTGCAGTATTTCCATGTTTCATAGATTTCATAGACATTTGGGCTGGAAGGGATCCTGGAGGATCATCGAGTCCAGCCCCCTGCCCCAGGGGCAGGAAGTGAGCAGGGATCATAGGATCCCAGCAAGATAAGCATCCAAATGTGTCTTGAAGGCATTCAAAGTGGGTGCTTGAACCGCCTCCGGCAGCGGCCTATTCCAAACCTTGGGGGCTGGGACAGTGAAGAAGTTCTTTCTTATGTCCAGCCTGAATCGGTTGCGGCAGAGCTTGTGACCGTTCGATCTTGTCATCCCTTGGGGTGCTCTGGTGAACAGATGTTCCCCCAGATCCTGATAAGCACCCCTGATAAACTTATAGGTGGCCACCAGATCACCCCTGAGCCTGTGCTTTTCTAAGCTGAAGAGTCCCATGGCTCTCAGCCTCTCATCATAAGGGCTTTTTTCCTGACCTCTGATCATGCGCGTGGCTCTCCTCTGCACCCTCTCAAGCTTCTCCACATCCTTTTTGAATTGTGGAACCCAAAACTGGATGCAGTTAAAAGCATGTTACAAACACATCTTCAGTAGAGATGTTTGATTTTACTAAATAATATAAAGGTACTGTGGTACAGGCAGTATCAGAAATGGATTAGTCATACTGACTTCTACTAGGAATCTAAACATCTGAATCCAGGTCTCTGGACATGGAAAAATGTAATCTGAAATAATCAACCCCCAGGCTACTTAAATCTATTTTAAAGAACATATGATAATATATGGATACTGTAAATATTTGATCTGTCATGCTTAGTGTACTGCTTTGAGAATGGATTTAAAACTTAGTCACCTCTGTAAGAAGATGTGCAATTGAACTCTTCAATAAACTGACTTGATAAATGGCTTATTTTATTACAAATCTAACTTACATTTTTCTTGCCTTATCTTGCAGTCTCAGACTATGAATTACGTGGGGCAGCTTGCAGGACAAGTCCTGGTTACTGTGAAGGAGCTATACAAAGGCATTAATCAGGCCACTCTTTCAGGATGTATTGATGTCATTGTGGTTCGCCAGCAGGATGGTACATTCCAGTGTTCTCCTTTTCACGTCCGATTTGGGAAACTTGGTGTCCTGCGTTCAAAGGAAAAAGTAGTAAGTACAGCAAATGGCAAGTGAAGGCAGAGAACCTGAAACATTGTTTTTCTGTTGTACATGTACACCTTGCAGAATGTGAATGGCAAAAGATTCTCATATAGGCTCTTCAAGTCAGAGATTTTTGCAATCCAAAATACATCATTTGTTATATGATTGCCTAATAAGGAAGAATAACCATACAAAAAAAAACAAAACAGGATTCATGTCAGAAAAGAAAGACATTTTGAAAGCTATATATTGGGCTATAAAAATATAATGTGACCCCAAGATCTTTTTATGATCTTAAAATATTTATGTGGCTATTGGAGCAGGGGGGAAGGAAGGAAGCCACTCAGGGGCTATTTCCTTTCCAGTAGCTGAAGAGAACTGGTGAAATAATCTGTTTAATTTTCTAGGTTTTTGAGAATACATTATTGCAGGTTTATTTGTAAATAGTGTTTTTTGTCAGTACAGATGAGCTGTGGCATTCTTCATGCTGTGAAAAAGAAGACATTGGTTACCACAAGCTGCCAAAAACTGCACCATATTTTGTGCATTTTTGCTCACAATTTAATTAGGCTTACCAGTTTATCTCAGCTGATAGGCTTTTACTGCCAAGTATTTGGTAAATTTAAAAAATGGCAATTGGCTCAGCTATGCTTGAAAATTGTCATCCAAGAATATTACTAACAGCTTTCTGACCACCTGCAGTCACTGTATTGACTAACTGAGGATGAAGGAGAGTCCATCCCATCTCAGCTGGAAGAGGGAACTCTGCAAAATCAAACTCAGGATTAGGACAAGAGGAAGACGGAAAAGTTCTTTAAAAAGCCCTCATTCCTGGTGTAAACAGTTACAAAATAGGTAATTCATTTTAGGGTATGGGCAGATGTGCATATGAAGTGCTTCAAATCTTGCCCCATTTTTAAGTGGTTCTAATTTGGGGCACTTCAGTACCAGACAAACGTGCAGACCTGTCCTCAAAAAACACTGGGAGATGCTGGTGGAATGAACCATCTCTCTATTATGTGCTGCTCGAGGGTACAAATATAACATGAAGCACTTACTTGTGAAGTGTTCAGAGTTATTGCTGTTTAATTTGGGTTATTTTTTTGACACAGTTCAGGCCAGTTTGAAACACTTTATTGCTGTGTGCTACCTGTACTCTCTCTTTTTAAAGCACTCAAGATTTGTAGCACTCAAGTTATGTCTATCCGTACTCTTAGTTGGTGCTAGTTGTAAATTAAAAGTAGCCACCTGGATTTATTGATTTGAAAAATAATGAAGTGGTATAAATGTGTGAGGAAGATGGAATCTACTGCCAGATCCTGTGGTGATACCTTTCATTAAATAAACTGGTTTTGATTTAATTGTTTCTGAGGATGTTTGGGAAGTAAGTCATGAACAGGTACTGACTATATTAAGGAACACCAGAGAAAGAAAAGAAACTGGGCTGAGATGTCCTTGATGTATTTTAAAAAATATATAAATAAAACAGATGAAGAGTGGAAATCTACTCCTGAACTTAGCGTTAACTTTTTTAAAAGAAAAATTGCAATTTTAGAGTGTGCCTGCCTGTATTCCCTTCATTCTTGTTTGATGCATCAAGGTACAAGAGATTCCTTTTTTTATGCAGCAGTTTGCCCGTGTGGAGCAGTAGCTTCTTTCATTTGATTGTATTTGATAAATCTGGCAACACTGAGTGAACTGCTGAGATGCAGGAGAGTTCATTACTTCATGAGAGCGAGGGATACTTGATCTAGAATATGTGAAGTGTCCATTCCTTCTACTTCTGGAGATTGTTGCAAGCATGCATTATCCTTGTCATTGTTCTGGTTGTGAGGTCTGCCCATCCTGCAGGCCAAAAATGTAATGGTAAAGTACTGTCACATAAAAGAAAACAATTATATTTGCCTTGTTGCACTCATGTGGTTATCCTTTATAAAAACAGGCCGTTTTAACTAATTTTGACATATCTGTTGGGCACATACTAATGATAGGGAGGGCTACTGACCCTGTCATACAAGTTTTTCAGTGAAGGAAAAGCAGAATCTGCTTGTTATTAGCAGTGAACCCATTTGAAAGTGATAGAACTCAAAAAGTTCAGTCATCTTTAACTTTTATATTCTGGACACTGTTCCTTTCATAACCTTTTGCAATATGACAGTAACACCTTTGGCCCCAAACCAGTAGACTACAGGAAGATGGCAAACTGCTTTGGTTCTCACATTTTTGTCTATAATCTATGTAAAAGGGGGAGGGAGGAGGCAACTTGAAGCCCCACTTTTGCTTTTTAAGTGCTAAATTATAATCTTCCTTTTACATTCATAGCACACGAAAGGAGTGAGAATTGTATGCAATATCAAAGGATTGAACTGAGATCCAGATTTTCAACCACTACCTATTAATGTTATTATCTCAAACTTTTATCTCAATATCTTCTTAAGGTTGCAAGGGTTGATCATAGGTATAATTGTTATACGACAGATACTAGTTATAAAAGACAACTGACAAGTGTTTGCAGGTAAAGGTAGAGGGCATATTAATGATTACGTAGAGGAAGGAAGGGGGAAAACCTGCTTCAAGATATGCCTGTAACTATTAAACTGACTTTAAATTATGGCTTGAATCTTTTTTATTTATGGGTTGTTGCTGTTAACTAATCTGATTTCAGAGAAGTTATACAAGAGTCTTATGTTGATTCTAACATCGTCTTTTCCCTGATTTCTCATAAAGTTGTTTTACAGCTTATACTGTTCAAAGTTCAGTCTTCTGCTCAAACATTTTTGTTACTTCCCCAAACCTATTAATTGTAACAATTTCCTTTGTTCTCACTTACTTTATAGAGAAACTACAAAATGGTAAAATCCACATAGAGTCCTTGTCTTCTACATTGCTTGAATCTGAATAAATACGTTTTCAACAAACAGCTTTTGCTTTTACTTTAGTAAGAATTAAAAACAATCTAATTGATTATGTTTAAATTGCTTTGGGCAGGTAAATGTCACTAAAATTAGTATTTTTTTAAATAGAGCTATTTGTCTTGTTGTGAAAGGAATAAAGCGTTGTATGTTTTTATTTGGTACTAGAATTTGCTGTCACCTGTATGGTTGAGTAATGGTTGGAATTACTTGTTTTCATTACAAATCAGTTTCAATACATTGTCTTACGTTAATCTTTGGTACTTTTTTTTTTTTTTGATGTTAGACTTGATAACACATGAGTTCATTTTAAAATCAGTCCTCCTCTTCTTGACTGGCTCTTACCTGTCCAAACGTTAACCAGTTTACATTCCAAATTTAGGTTAACTACTGTATGGAGGGAGGGTGTTAGCTGTCATAGTCTGAAGTCAGGTAGAAGGCAGGTCAGAGTGGCAGTTAGCCTAAAGGTGCCACTGTTATAGATGGTTGCTTTTTATGTATAACCTAAAACTTCATTTGTTTGCCAGCTTTAATATTAGATGTCATGCATTATGTGCATGAAGACTAACATGAAAGCCTGACTAGGACGGACCCATTTTTAAGTTATGCAAACTTGATAATGATACATTCACTTTCTAAATAGTAAGACAAAATCTGTTGCATTCCCTTATAATACTGAGAATATAACTTTCTGAATTAAATCCCTTTCAGATATCATCATAGGCTCTGATGAAGATATCTGTTGCCCATGAAAGCTTATGTATATTTGATTCAGTTAGTCTATAAGGTGCATCTCTACCCTGCCTTTGCCTGACTTCAGGATAACGTGGCTAACTATTGCTATCAGTTGGTTAGACTAAAAGAAAATGTCCACTTGACACAGAAAAGATGAATTCTTGACCACATAATCAATAATCCTCATTGAATATTGAAGTTCACAATTCTGTTTGTATGTTAATGCATGGAATTTACTTTACTGTCCAAGATTTCACCTAAAGAAGATAAAACTGAAATGGTGAAATCTTTATTCCTTTGGCTTTAGAACAGATTTATATATACATCTCTTTTTGTTCTTGTTTTGGAAGTCCATCAGTTTGGAAAAGAGGCCATCTTTTCCTCTCCTGAAGTTATTGTAACTTGGAATACGTTTATGTTCCATTTTACATTGGAAAATGTTTTTCTCTGAAAAACAGAAGCTCTGGAAAGCTAGGAATCTTGTCTCATATTTGTAGCTATATGACAGTACTGTTAGAAGCAGGATTATTAACTGAATATTAAAAAAATACAGTCAGTCACAGGCTTGTGATTTCATAAAATAAACAAAGCCTTTAAAAGGCCATTTGCTCTTACTCAAGAATACCTTCCTTTCATAATTGAGATCCATTCCAGGCCTCGGTTGAGCCAGATTTTAAGTACATATCTGTCTAACTACAGAAAGAGTTCACTGAGGCAGCTTCGTAGGACAACACAAAGGCCCAAGTTACCAAGGTTTTCAGGCCTATGACTCCCAAAATGAACGAAATAGAGTGGAGTCTTGTTAGATTTAGGCATCTGAACAACTTTGAGGATTTGGCCATACCTATTCTAGTATAATAAGGGAGCAAAAATGAAGGGCAATGTGGCAAGTCTTTTTAAAAAGGCATACTGCTGGTGGAGTGTTGTTGGTTTAAAAAGAATGATGGGAGTCTAATACCAATATATCAGGATTAAATCTTCAGCTCAATATTTGTCTATCTCTTCACGTGGAGGATGTTCCATGGTAAATTGTTTTTGTTTCCATAGATTGATATAGAAATTAATGGAGATGCTGTTGATCTTCATATGAAGCTGGGTGACAATGGAGAAGCTTTC